AGAGGGTATCATGACATGCCTTAGGGTGTGAAAGGCTTGGCATGAAGACCATCACAGTGGCCAATTATTATTGAACCATTGACACCCGAATCTTAAAGGGTTGGTACTTAGGGCTTGAGATTCTAGACATTGATCAATCAGTCATGCAACAACCCATATTCTTACAACAAGTAGAGCTCCTTGGACGGGTGGCCAGTCACGGCAAGGCCCTCACCTCCAACGTTACAACTCTAACTCAACTTTCCTATTCTAAATTTTTTTTTTAGCCATGGGTTGGCTTGTGATCTTTTTTCTCTTTTTTTACTTGCTAATTTTTATTTATTTATATTTATTTATTTAAATATAGAAGGGAGTGACACACTCACTGATATCCAAACCCTTTGGCAACCATCAACATGCCAAAGGTGTACACCCACTGCCAAGTCCATGAACTAAACCAGACCAACCATCCATAAACTGCATGTTTCTCCTCCTTAAGGAGATACGACTCCTTTGGTGTTGATTTTGAATTTTCCAACTTAACAACAGATGGTACTCGCTCAACATGTCCTGCCTTGGTGGGATTGCAAGGGGTCCCCTGCTCTTCTGGCTTAGCCACCTTACTAGACATGTTGGGTTGTTGACGATGAACTTGATGTGTTTGTCTAGTTTGTGGTGGTACTCTAGGTACTCTCAACTCGTTGGGCTCATGAAAGAGACCACGAGTTTTTATCTTCCTTGGTTTCGCCCAACCATGCTTAATCATCTCATATAGTTCGGACGAGGAGTGTTTGGACTCAACAAGTCGATGACCACCCTGGTGGCCAACCTGATCCTGTTCAACCCTTATGGCTTGCTGACTTCTACACGTAGCACATAACCTTTGTTTCTTTGTAGGACCATTTCTGGTTATTGTATGCCGGGATGTCTTGTTCATGCACCTGTCATTCTATTTGGCATGCCATGAGGGTTTTTAAGCATGGACTTGCTTCTTTGTCCATCTATTAACACACTCTCATACTTAGAAATTTTTTGAGTGGATTGGGTGTGCTGCACACTCATATAATTTTCTCCCACTTGTTTCTTCATGGTCGGTGACATGCCCCCCTGTCCAGTGGTTGGAGACATGTCCCCCATACCATTATTCATGATTGTTGATGTGCCCCTTTCCAAACTTAGCCATATTAGTATGCTTACTAAAAGCATGTGTGGCTTCATGTTGTGGCTTATTGGGCACACCTATCAACCTACTAGTGGTGATTGATGACATGCCCCCCATGTCATCATTAGCTACACTATCATGATTACTATAAGCATGTGTGGCTTGAGTTTTTTGTGGTTTCTTGGGCAAGTCTATCTATCTATTGTTTGTGGTTGGTGACATGCCCCCTTGTCGACCATTCATGGGTGGCATGCTACAAGGGGCCTTGCCTCCTTGTCCACTCTTTGACACGCTGTCAAAGTTATGAAAATCATGGGTGGCATGGGTGTCCAACGCCCGCTTAGACTTGCCACTCACTTCATTCATCATGTTTGATGACATGCCCCCCATGTCCACTCCATGGATATGGAGACATGTCCCCCTTGCCCCCCTTAGCCACGCTAACATTCAACTAGCAGCAAATGTGGTTTGGGATTGTAGTGGATTCTTGGACACAACTGTCAACTCACTGCTCGTGGTTGATGACATGTCCCTCATGTAATCCTTAGAAGATAAACATGGTATTCTGTTGGACACACCCTGTTGTTCGATTTTCTTGACATCAACGTGTCCCCTAGCCTGACACTTCACCTTGTTAGGTAGACTTCCATGGCCCTCTGCATGCCCCCCTAGCGATTTGCATCCACCAGGCCGCTCGAGCATAGATGGCATCGAGTTTGGGCAAGCTTGTGGTAGCACATCAGCTATTAACCCTCCACCAACTCTCACGTTCAAGCATGGTCTAGCCTCTGAGACAGTTTTATGAGTAACTGTCGGCATAGGCGGTTGCTTTACATGAGTGGTGAACGTGGGAGCGAGACTCTCGCCACAACCACCATGTTGAAGAGGTAGTTGAATTTCCATCAGAGACGCGATGAGTTCTCTGGCCGTGACTGAGTAGTCCGGCCACCGGAGAACAGGATACTTGTATACTTAGTAGCAATACTTGGTGGCGGATCTATACCATTTTTTGGTAAAGAAATTTCTCGCACCACTGGTTCTATAAAATATTTTTTAAGCTTATCTAAGTAATTTGTATTTTCTGTAGTTGCTTCAAGCAATTCATCCAAACGTCTATCTAACATAGAAGTAAAAAAGCAAATTTTAGACTTGTCTGTTGTGAACTTCTAACAAGTCCATTCAAACTCTCTTCCATCAATCAACGGATCTCCACCATCATTTGACGGTTCTCCACCACCATCTTGCAGTTATCATCCACTATTGAGCGGAGTGACATGGCAGTGGTGGTTACATCGGCGCAAGGTGCCGCCGGTGGCAATATCTCAATCATGCCATTGTTTCCGACAACACTTACTGATGCTTGGCCAAATTTGAACTTGGCCGCCAACTCCTTCACAACTCCTGGTGAAATATCACCTTCCTGTTCTCTCAGTCATGGAGCCATCAAATCAAACACACAGAGTCCCACCGGGTGTGCCAATTTGTTTTCCGGCGAGGAAAAACTGGTGTTTGAATTAAATGATTTGCACCTTGACTTCTTGAACAACGATTAATAACACCGTTCACTCCTCTCCGAACAATGTTCGAACGAGGGTGTTTGATGTTTTTTATGATTTTTTTGGGAACAAACTAAGTTAATTACACCTACTCCTATGGAGGTTCAGTGAGAGCTCCGAAAACTAAGGCTATGGCTAATTTGCAGAGAAAAAGATAAAGTTTGACATAGTGTGTCAAATGTTTGGTTGTGGAACCCTTTTACAATTTTAGTTTCTCCTATTTATAGACATCGAGTGTAACTGCCTTTGTAACCGCTAGCTAGTTTGCTGCTCCAAACCGCCTCGGGGTCCTTGTCGCCGCCTTGGTGACTAGTTGGTAACCGTCACCTTGGGGGCCCTTGTCCCGTCTTGGGCTGGTGGGTACTTGATGGCCTCGATGCCGGGTTGGGTTGTTGTTGATCCTTGTAGTCTTGTCATGACTGGATGGGGTTGAGGCTCTTGTCTTAGCCTCCATGAACCATGATGAAGTCTTGATCTCACCCTCGACTGCTTGATGACTCCCCGCTCCTGAGTCCGCTACCACCTCATGACACCAAGTCCTTCTCATTAACTTGTTGGTTGTTACCAAGCCGTCTCATCGGCTTGATACCTTCTGCCACCAAGCCCATGTAATCAACTTGACACCCCTTGCTATCAAGCCAGCCCTGGTGGCTTAGTATCCATACTTAGTTTTTGTAACCTCATCAAGTTGGTAAATTACACCCTGCCGGCTTGGTACCCCGTTAGGGTGCTACCAAGCCCGCCTTGGGACTTTGTCTCCATATGGCCACCCCCCTTGCACGGTGTCATGCATGACCCCCTTGGACGAGACCATGCATGACCCCTCTTGTGGTTGGGTCTCCATACTTAGTCAAATTTCATACCAAGGGGTGGAGGCATCGTCCGGCTATGGGGGCCACAGAGACGGGTTGGTCATCGTATAGAGAAGAAGGGGTTTGGCCACTTGGGCCCAAAAACCCAACGCAACAAGGCCCAGCTATCTCTTTTAATCATTAATGTTGAGTTTACCTTATAAATCACTACCACTCCTTGAAAATAATCAATGTGGTATTGAGTGATTTTTTTAGTGGTAAACACAATCACATGTATTAATAGAGTGAGAATTTCATATAACTCGATCCTGATTGATGAATAGGGTTCATATCCATAATAATCAACCCATTCTTAAATTTCTTTTTGCTGACTTAGGTTATGAACTTATTCAAGATTATTGATGGTTCGAGAACGTGCAATAATCTTTGGTAGAAATTGTAATCCCCCCCCCCCCCAACAAAAAAAAAACACGACAACGGAAACTGTCAGTGGCTTCAAGTCGTCGATGTTGGTCACCTGAAAACTTTGGATATCCATGAACAAATCGACATGAAAAGGGAAGTCAGGGCTCGATATGGGAAATTTGTATTCAGTCATCAACAACCTCGCTCAAATGCTAAATCCAATAGAGCTGAAGAAAGCTGAACTTAAACTGATCGTTGATTCGAGGGTAAAGAAAGCAACCCCAATTCAAGATTATAACAATAGAAAGTGAGGAAGCAAAGAGAAAGCATCAATGGAACTTATGGAAGGGTTAAAAAGGGAAAGATGTTAGGGAACCTTTAAGTCAGCTATGCCGAGCCTTTCAAAAGGACTATGTGTAAGGTTGTAGCAATGCAAAGACACAATGAAAAATGTTGCAACATCACCATGCATGTGAACAATTTATGAATAAGAGTTTTAGAAATTTTCTAACATCTTCTAGTCTCCTTATAAATATCTCTTCTGGCTCCCTGGTATCAGGAACACTCCAATTACTTTTTAGAAGTTGGTTGAATATCGATCCCTTCTAGTAAAAAACAAGACCCGATCCTCCAAAGGTTCAAAGTTTCAATCTCTCCAGGTACATGGCATCCTGACACCAAACTCTAAACTTAAGTAGCAAGAGAGAAAGCATAGGTGCTTTTTGAGAGAGACTCGTTTTTTTATTTATTAGAAAAATCATCTGGGAGAGCGAGAAGCATACAAGTGGTAGCAGGCACAATGTCTTTTTATAGACCCTTGGTCGCCCCCTCTCTTCCTAGTATCCTTCTAGGGTTTGGTTTCTCTCTTCTCAGTCCACAAGGAATCGATCGACTCATTCCTCTGATCAAAATATTGTAGTCAAATTCTCCTTTCCTACTAAAGATAGAAATTGTTTCGGGATGAAGGCATGAGAGTCTGATACGGAAGAGTAGCAGTGGCCTGACCCCAAAAGTTTTAACCGATGACGTTCCACTTACTATACACATAAAAACTTTGCTCACTGACTTGATTGTCGGAAAGCATATCCAAACTCCCATGTCTTATTCTTGTTCTGATTCGTAGATCCAGCGACTGAAAATCTGATTCACTCTTTCCCGCAGGTTCTTAGTTGTGGCACCAAAAAATTGAAGCAAAAGTTCTTATCACCACGAGTACTTTTAGTTAAAGGAAGTTGGAATCCTTCCATAAGTGATAATTCGATTTAACAAATATTTTACGGTGGTAAAGAAAGCCCTGAAATTACTTTCATCCCAAAATATCACATGGCCGTAATAATATGAAATATCTCCTTCACCATGAAAGAAAGACAAAAAGAGGATAAACGAAAAAAGCTTATGTCGAAGTCGAATCAGTGAAGCTTTTCCCCCTTTGTGTTGTAAAAAAAGAGAGCTATATATGCATGCTTTGCAATATATATATTTTCCTCCATACGACGTAGTCCACCGGCCAACAAATAAATACAGTCCACCCAAACTAATAAAAATAAAGATAAATTCAATTCAAACAGCTCCACCACATTTGTCGAACATTAATCGTGTTCACACCTGCTGAAACCCGGCGCTGTATCTCACTCCCGTCGACGGCAGCCACAAATTCCCCTCAATAAACTGGGCCACCGTGAAATTACTGGCCTCGGACGAACTATTCAACAGGTGAAACCCGGGCCACCTCACCCTCCGGCCCACCGCCGCCCCAGGCCCATAATTCATATACTCCCCGTAGTACAGCGTGTCCAGATACATGGGCCCGTTCCACTCCAGCCACCCTTCGGGCCGCACCGCGGCACTAATATACGACTGCATCACCACCGTGGTGGAGAAATTCTTCCACGGCCGGCCCAGGTACGTGTAGCTGGAATTGGCGAACGGCAGCAGGTCGGCGTCGGCGCCGATGCTGCAGAACTGGATGGAGTAGCCCGTCGCCTGGTTCGGATCTTTCTTCCCGTGCGCGGTGATGGTGTTCTTCTGGTTGTCGAGGCCTTTCCGGGCGAGGATGGAGCAGTTCTGGAAGACGGCGGCGGCGTTGCCGAAGATGAAGTCGACGGTGCCGCGGATGACGCAGTCGCGGTAGAACTGGCGCATGGTGTGGGTGTAGAGCGAGTCCTGGTAGCCGCGGACCTCGACCCGGTAGTAGACCGACAGGTCCGAGTCGGACCGGAAGGCGACGGCTTGGTGCTTTGCGGGGCCCGCGCTGTTTTCGAACGTCATGTCTCGTGCGATGAACCCCCGGCCGCTTACGGCTAACAACACACAAAAGTCAACAAGTCAAATCGCTTGGGAAAAAGTAAAGATCCAAACGAAGGAAGAAAAAAAGGGAAAACACTTCCGGTACTGAATGGTGTAAAATCTTTTTTCCAATTTGGTACTGCCTGATAGTGATTGATCACGAATCAAATTATTGAGTGATGCTTGATTAACATGGTTAATTTGGTATTAAGAATTAATTAGCGACTGGCTAATTGGGTAATATGCCCAACATGGTCTCTTTCATACCATTAAAGCTGGATTTATTATTTCAATGGAATTATCATACTATTGAAAATATCTATGTTTTTATAACCGAACCCAATGATAAACCAGAAAAATTAGTGGTTTATGGTTCAACGATCAACCATTAGTGAACCGTAGATAGAACTATTCATATGCTATAACATAAAAAAAATAAATATATAATACTCTAATTTAGAATTAAATTTATTAATAATCATAAACGGTTTCGAATATATATCATCTATAATAAAAAAAAATTTAACAAATCATTCAAATTATCTTACAAAAGATATAGTTTTATTTATTAAATTCAAAATTTTTATTACGATGACAATTCTTATTGGAGCATATAATACTGGCAAAGAGACTTAAAAACAAAGGAAAGAAAGCATAAATAAAATTCGTAATTGAGATTGGATGATTTTAGTTTACATTTAAGTAATTTCGAAATTTTTTATGATGAAACATTGAACTAATCAAATTATAATGGTTCATCTAGTTTCATATTAAACCGCAAAAACCCATTGGGTTTCATGTAAAACTTCATTGTGAATAGCCGGGCAAATAAAAAAAAAAATTGGAGGGAAGAGGGAGAGGAGGGTGAATTTTGAAGTTTTACCGAAAGTAGCGGAACGGAAAGTGGTCCATCCGTCGATGAAATTCCGGTTGCCGGTGATGATTGTGCGGTTGATACCATCCCCCACCATCATGATGTTCCACCTCTTCTTCTTGATCTCCACATACTCATTGTAAACCCCACCTTTCACGTAGATGACGAATCGCTTCATGCTGTACTCCGGGGCGGCAGCCACCGCATCCATGATGGCCGTGAAATTCCCGCTCCCGTCCTTCGCCACCACCACATCCGGCGTCACGCCGTTGATCGCCGCCAGCAGCTTCCGGTCCTCGTGCTGAACCCACGCCGGGAATCCGCCGTCCCCGGAGGGTGTCTTCCCGTCGATGTTGGGCAAAAGCTCCTGGATCGAGGAAGTGATCTGGGAAAGCCCCCCTGCCACGAGGGATTTGAGAAGGGTGTTTGTTCCTTCGAATCCTTCGATGCAGGTGTCGGGATTGACCATTGCCGCGCTCAGCCACGTCTTTAGGTCGTAGCTCAGGTCCCCCGTGCTGTTGTTTTTACCTGTATGAAAAAAAAAAGGAAAAAAAAAACAGAGATCTGTGAGAGCAGAACAGAGCATGTGGAGGAAAGCAGAGGATAAATAGTTAAAAAGCAGAGTCTTTTTTGTTTTTTCCCCTCCTCTGTTTCGAAATCTGTTATCCTGTAGCATGGGGTCTGTCTAGGAGAGAATAGATCACAATAATGGAGAGAGAGAGAGAGAGGGGGGATTTAAGTGGTAATAGTAGCAGCATTCATCCAACTGAAGAGATTCTTGTTTTTATGTAACGGATCAATAACTGAAGCAATCTATCTATCAATGAATGGAAAAGGTAATTAAATGATGATGTTTAATTAATTCGGGTAGCGTACCTTTGGGGTTCTGGGAAGCGGAGATGGACCAGGAGAGGGCGTCGGTCGTGAAATCGAGGAGGTCGAGGCAGTCGGAGATGGCATTGGAGAGGCGGTGGCCGCCGAGGAAGCCGCCGAAGTTGGAGATGATGGAGGTGACGTCCTTGATGATGTCGAGGGTGGACTGGAGGGTGCCGAGGAACTGGGAGATGGGGACTTTCAGGCATTCCGTCTGGTAGAACTGGCGGCTCGGTGATCTGGAGTACGTGGCGGCGGCAGGGGAATGGGCGGTGGAAAGAGCGCAAGGAAGAAGGAGGAGTAGAAGAAGAAGCAAGGTCGGCGTTGGATTCGGCATAGCGGCAGCTGTGTTTGGTTGGGGGGAATGAAGGGTGATCTGATCTCTGCTATGGCGAAAGGAAGGATAAGGAAGGAAATGTGTAGATATAGAGAGGAGAAGGAGTGGAGGGGCAGGTGAAGGAATTAAAGAGGTGAGGAAGAGGAAGCACAAGGCAGGAGTCAATGGAGGAGCCCAGCTCTCCTCCTTCTTGCTCTGTCATTTATTTATGTAGACAACAAGGGCGGGTGGGGTTAATGGTTGGTTGGTTGGTTAGGGCGGCGGATCGGAGTCGGGTTCGGTGGTCCTGCGGGTTACTGTGCCTGCTAGGCTGCTACACTGCTGCTTCAGATGATGAGTTTTACACTTTTTACTACTGAGAGTTGGGGAAAAAATCCCAGAATACGCTAGTTATTAAAAAAAATTCCCTAAATACAGTACTTATAAAACTAATTCCCAAAATACAGCAGTTTCAACATCACTGTCTTTGTCTAAGACAGTGATGTTGATCACCGCTTTTGTCCAAAGCAGTGAAGCAGCGGGGTACGCATCACCGCCTTGGACAAAAGCGGGGAATGCATCATCGCTGTGGTCAAAAGCGGTGATACGTTCCCCGCTTTGGACATCAACAGTGAAGCCATCACCGCTGTTGTCCACAGCAGTGATTGCCCCCACGTTTTACACAGCCCTGGTAGGTGGACAGGTAGGTAACAGCTACCTAGCCATCACCGCTGTTGACTAAGGCGATGATGGTTCACCGCCTTTGTCCAAAGCGGTGATTGCCTCCAATTTTTCCTATAAAAAGCCACGCCCCCTCTTCCCTCCTGCTGCCAAACACTCCTGCTGCCAAACAGAAAATTAGTACCAAAATTATCGTTTTCGCAGCTGGTTCCTCCGTAGTTTACTGCTCAAGAAACTCGTCGGGATTCGGTATGTTAGAATTATGTATTGTTTACATTTTGATTATGTGCTAGAATTAGGTATGTTAGAATTATATATTTAGATTAATGATATATGTTAGTTAGTTAGTACTGAATTTAGATTAATTTGTTTAGTTATCATGATAGATCGGGATTGAGTATGTTATAAGTATGTATTTTTTACATGTTGATGTGTTAGTAATTATACTGTTTGTATTTAGTGAATTGCGGTTATTGGAAAATATGTTATGATATTATTTAGTTTAATTATGATATGATAGATGTTAGTTAGCTAGTTATGAATTTAGATGAATTTGTTTAGTTTTCTCATAATAGATAAATTAGTTGCATTTTATTATCGCTTTGGATGATATTGTTTTTGTATCCATAATGTACTAATTATATACTATACTTAATTATTATAAATTGCAGACATGGGTAAATTTAAGAAGTTTCGGCTTATTATTTATTGGAATGGTCGGGTGACAAACTCGAACATTGGGATCGACTATGAAGATGGCGAATCCAGTTCGCTTACAATTGAGTCGAGATTCTCGTGGCAAGAACTCCATGACAGGTGTGCAGAAAGGACTTGTACGGGCGGGCAAATGAGAGTTCGTCAAATTACTTACCGGTATCCCAACATGAGTGCTGACGGAGTCATGTACGAAAGAGTTGACATAAATGACGATGACGACGCGAACATGATGACACAGTTCATATCTGAGAACGGGGTGCGGCTTGCAGAGGTGTATGTCGAGACCGAGCCGGTCAGTGAAACTCATTCTCACCAGTATTCTTATGATGATGGTTTTGCAGGAGGGTATGGCTGGGGTGGTAGTTCAAGTAACTACGGAGCAGGTTCTTCTGCCGGAGGGTATGGTTGGGGAGGTACTTCAAGCAACTACGGAGGAGGTAGTTCTGAAGGAGCTGTTGGGTGGGAAGAATACCTGCCACATGGTGGTGAGACTGCCGTCGATATCGTTCAGCCCGACGGTGATCAATGGCCTGCTTGGGGTCCAGAGTGGGGTGACATTGAAAACACCCTTCGAACTGGGCGTACTTCGCATGACCAAGAAGGCGATGCTGGTTATGCTGCTAAAGATGACCCTCCTTCGCCGAGCTATCCATTCGCCTCCAGTGACGATGAAAGTGAGGAAGATTTGAGATCAGTCAGTGAGGAGGAAGATGCGGACGATAACGACGATATCGATGACAGTGAGGTGGCGTTCCGCCAGGCACCAACGCCTTACTACACAGAGGTTCCTGATCAATTTTTATATGGTCAGAACGATGCCCCTGACTATCGGCCCATGCCTGTGTATAATCCGACTGCTAATTTGGAAGTGGGTATGGCGTTCACTTCAAAAGCCGATGTGCAAGACGCTTTTAGCGAAGAAGCCATGCGGCGTAATTTCGAATGGAAGGTAAAATATTCTGACAAGGGACAACTGCATGTCATTTGTAAGAATGCTGGAGAGGGTTGTATGTGGCAACTTCGTGCTGCATATATGAAGAGAAAGGGGGTCTGGGTCATGCGGACAGCAGAGAACAACCACAGTTGCTCCTCAACCATACTTTCACAGGATCACCGGCAACTGAAAGCAAAAAAAGTGGCAAGAACCATTAAGCACCTTATCGAGGCACAACCAGATATCAAGATAAAAGCTATCATGGCGGAGGTGAAGGATCGACACTCCTACACCATAAGGTATAAGAAGGCGTGGCATGGGAAGCAGAAGGCCATGGCTGATGTCTACGGTGATTGGGATGACTCGTATGCTTTACTCCCCAGACTAATGTCCGCAATGGAGGAGTCCAACCCTGGGACGGTTTCCGTGCCTTGGTACAACAACGTAGAAACTGAAGATCAAGTTCGAGTACAGAACGAGTTGATGTTTCATCGTCTGTTCTGGACATTCAAGCCATGCATTGACGGGTTTCCCTTCTGCATGCCAGTGATTCAGGTATATTACGGACTCAAAATATTGTACTACTTCATTACTTTACTAATTTCAATTTTTACTAACTCAGTATTCATTTTAACAGGTTGATGGAACTTTCCTTACTGGGAAGTATAAAGGAACTCTTCTTATTGCCACTGGGGTTGATGGAAATTTAAGTATTTTTCCCTTAGCATTTGCATTAGTTGAAGGGGAGAACAACCTAAGTTGGGCATGGTTCTTTGACCAGCTACACGCCCACGTCACACAAAGAATGGGTATTACAATTATATCGGATCGACATGCCGGGATTAAACACGCCGTCCGTGGTTTCCCGGACGAATGGGGATGGACATGGCGTTGGTGTATTCGTCACTTCCTAGCCAATTTCCAACACAAATTTGGCAAGAAGAAAGACATCAGAGATCAATTATGGAGTGCAGGTAATAATGTAATTCAGTGCTTGTTCAAGGTTTATTGTTCAAATGACAATTCTTATGGATTAATTATTAATTCTCCGGTCTTGTAGCGGTTGCACATCAACCAAAAAAGTACGAGCAGAAGATGAAGACGATCCGTCAAATACACCGGGCGGGAGCAGTATGGGCAGAAGGTCAAGATCTGCACATGTGGACATTTCACATGGACAACGGGGCTAGATTCGGAATTGCAACTACCAACCATGGGGAGAGCATAAATGGAGTCTACAAGGGCATTAGGGCAATGCCTGTATCTGTCCTAGTGGAGATGACATACTGGAAGGTAAACGAGTGGTTTGTGAAGAGACGGGATGCTGCTATAGGGAGGGAGCGTGCTGGTCATTCAATAGCTAAGCATATATTTGACGGCATGCAGAAGATCGAAGAGAAATCAAGTAAGCACAGAGTTGTTCTGTTCAACCGCAATGAGGGTATTTTTGCTGTGCAAACAGGTATCTGGGGTGGAGGAAGACGTGGGCATAATCGTCAATCCGTAACTCTACACGTAGAAACTCGCACCGGAGAGTGTACATGCCAAAAGTATCAAAACAGAAGAGTACCTTGTTCACATGCAATGGCAGTAGCTAAGTCGATAACCCTCAGCGCTTACAGTTTGGTTAGTCCTTACTACACGGAACAGGCGATCAGGAACTCCTACTCGTCAAGTTTTAGCCCCCTGCCGGATGAAGCTTATTGGCCTGTAGACAATGGGAAGTTGATTATCCCACCGTTACACTTAAAGCGCACCAAAGGTCGTCCTAGGACCGAAAGGATTCACAATGAAATGGACCAATCACAACGTGCCCGACGGGGTCCAAAGCGTTGCTCAAAGTGCAGACAACCGGGTCATGACAAGAGGCGTTGCCCAGGTCCACCTCTAGAGCAAGATTCGGCGCCAATTCCGAACCTACCTTGATGTTGTTGTTGTTCACTTCCTTGTTTTAATCTTGTTGAGTAGTTTTCGTTGTTGTGATGTTTAATTTGGACTTCTTGTTTTAATCTTGTTGAGTGATTGTAATAAAGGGCGTTTGTTGTTCATTTTGGTACAACATGGGGGTAAAAACCAACAAAATTTAGCCGACAGATAGTTAATGGAAAACAACACAATCCGAAACCAAATTTAGAAACATAGATAGTTCATGGAAAACAACACAAGCCCCAAACCAAATTTAGACGACATGGATAGTTCATGGAAAACAAAAAAAGATGGAACTAAATTAGAACGACATAGATAGTTCACTGGTTGTCTTCATTTCCCTCCACTTCCCCTTCTCTTCCTCTTCCTCTTCCTCCACGACCTCCTCGGCCCCTTCTTCCGCCCTCTCTACCTCCTCCTCCTTCTTCACGAGCCCGCTGGACAACTGCGCGCGGATTCCTCTTAACCCGACCACCCACCGGAGTGTAGACAGGTGGTGGGGGTGGAGGTTGCTGAGTTGGACCAGAAGTGTGGTAGAAAGTCGATGATGTATGTTGCTGTTGCGGGGTCTGATACTGAGTAGTTTGTTGCTGATGGTGGAACTGAGGGGTGGCTTGGGTGAACATGTCATGCTCCATCGTCGGGGCATAGCTTGACGACCCTCCGGTTCCCTCAGTACTAGTAGCCCACTCACAATGTGGCCATGGTTGAGGAAGTTGAGTTTGCTGAGACGGACGAAGCTCATCAATGTGTTCTCTCACCC